AATATTATATAGAATAGGAAAGAAAAACCTAGTTGAAGATATTTTTGTTGAAATTATGCAATTTTCGTACATTTCTACTAGTTCTGAAGACCACCCCACCCCCAAATGGTGAACTGGTGCTTTGTTACACTGGCAACTGATCATAGGAAACAAGTTGTAATGTGTAGATATAATTTGCATCCATCATTTCATTTACAGTTGAACTACAAATTTTCTTATTGATGTCCGATAACGTAATAACGTCGTAATGACGTGATCTCCTGTGACAATTTGGGATGTAGAATATGGATACACAACAAATTTCAATAAAAAATTTTCAAAAAATGGTCAAATCCCATTAAAGAAATATACCCTATGCAGAAGATAGATGATATTTCCCATTTCAAAATTTTTTTTTTTTTTTACAGGATTAATCAAAAAGTTCTTATGAAATAAAACAAGGCTTTATTGTTATCCCAAATTCATGTACAAGTACATGTTTTTATTATGAAATGTACGAAAGAGACATGCATTATAATGGACAATATTTGGATATCTATGAGTATATGTACATAATATACCACAGGCCCTCTTGGAAGTTCTTTCAATATTAATAAAATATGTAAAAAAGTATGTGTACACGTTGACACTATTTTCTCCACATTGCCCATATTTTATTAATATTGCCTGTGGATATACTAACTGTAAAAGTGACAATTAAGCACATACAACCAAAAATATTTGCTTCGAGCAGGAGCTTCCCAACCGAACTCACATTTCATTTATATCATTCTATTGGAGTGGGAAGTAGAGGTTTGGAATTGCCAATAGTGTACATGTATCAAGATACTATTACCATGTATAATATGGACATAATACTTGATAATAGTGGACACATGATGTATAAAAAATATTGAAAAAATAAGATTAAATTACAGGTTTTTTAAACAAAAATGTAATTGATGGATACTATTTTGATGTATAATATGGACATATACTTGATTATAGTGTACAAGTACATGTACACATGCTGTACAATATATTAAGAAGAATATTGTACAGGGTTTTTTTATGAAATGTATATTGATAGACAAGATACTATTTCTGTATATTTACTTTATTGTAAGACTTAAATTGAGGTGCTACACATGAACTTCATTTTTATTGTTTTTCCATTTTCTTTAATGTAAATTTGGAGTGACAAATTTTACAATGTTTTTAAGCTGAAAGGCATTTTCAAAACGAATTAACGAACCGGTTGACAGTAAACACTCTGTACATGTAATTGATAACAAATCTGAATGGCAGTTCGATTTATGTGTTGATAACTCTGCATCAGTATGACAGGTATATGGGGGAAATACATGAGTCTGAGCTTGTAATTGGCTTTTGTAAAGGTATATTTTCTGTATCGGCTTCAAGGTCCAATGAATGTCAGTTTGTGTATACATTTTCTGGCGAGGATTGAGGAGAACTTAAAGTACGTCGTTTATTGTTTGTTTATTACCAAACTCAGTATTTTGGGTCAATTCGATGCCAATGGAAACCAAAGATTGTTTTACAACTTTTGTAAAGGCTACCCCTCTTTGTGCTACTGGAATACGCTTCCTGTCACCGTGACGTTCCCGGGCATTATCAGGAAAAGTTTATCGAGGTCATTTGATTAGTAACTTGGTGTAGGCATTATAATATTATTTTTTATCATCTTTTCTGCGCTTAACTAAGTTATGTGGCAATGGCTTAGGTAGCGAACCTGTTTAGGTTTGTATATCCAAATTGTTAAAATGTAATAAATTCAAAATTTATCTTTTGTTAGCTTCGTCAATTTCTGATATTGATGCTAGTGGGATTGATCAAGTAATTTTGTCGGTAAATAATTTGAGAATAAAGATGTGTGATAATTAATGCCTGGATGAGTGATATCTTGTGGTGTTACTCCATGTTGCATTAACAATTCTACATCAGATATATTGTATTTAATAAATGAAGCATACATAAGTAGGGCTGTCATTTGATAATAAAAGTCATGCATGAACAAAATACCTAGTTTTATATAGTTATGTGTTTTTTTTCTTCTATTTCACTTTGAGACGAAATCGGGAGAGGTGAATGGACATGTTCGTAGAAAATTAGTGTAAGATATTCGATTTTTACATTTAAAAATAGCATTGTAACAGTGATCCTTATCAATTAAACTTGCCAACTGCAAAATTTGAGCTAAATTTTGAGGGGAGGAAGGTCTTATGAGTTTGTTGCATCTGGTTGATAGAATTCAGTATAGATCAAGTTGTTATTATTATTTGATTTATCACGACATTTCCACCCATCTGATCAGTGCTCATCAATTATCCGAGGTATGTTTATAAATTTTAGACTATTTCTAATGCTTTTATATAAATTAATTTATTTCCAACTGTGCCTATTCGTGATGGATTATTTGATGGAGTTATTGCTTGATTGTCATTAGGAAATGTTTTGGTAAATAATTTAAGAATAAAAGTGGACACGAGTCTGTTTAAATGGCTGTTAAAATATGTACTGTCAATATCAAGGAACTTACGTTCAGTGATGTTATTAGTTAAATGTAAAGGTTTTCTACGTTCAGATGCTAAAGATTTATATATTTGCTGTGCCGAGAAAGAAATAGACCACAAAAACCAAATAAAACAAATTATTATTAATTATGTCATATTTTACCTTGACTGACATTAAATTGGATTGTATGACATTGCGTATGAAATGAATATAATTGGATGAAATAATGTCTCAAAAATGTCTCAAGCTTGCATGACTGAATGAATTCCAGTTTCTAATGGCTAATATGCCAATTTTTATGAACAGCCGACTTAATTGTGCTTTTATGATATTCATCATTGATTTCTTTTAATACTTGCCAATGCTCGAGCTCAGAATTAATTTTAATTGCAAAGGACATTTCCTTCCAGTTTGGATAAATACAGCACAAACATAAGCAGGAATTCTTCAACTCTGGTGAAAAACATACACACATCTGATCTGGACATATCTTAAACTGGATAAGTTGAATTTTCTATACATTGTCAAGTAGAATCGAATAATTTAGCATATGAATTCTATGACTACACTATAAAAAAACTCAAAGGTAACATACACCCACGGGCAGCTGGCAGAAATGATAATTAAGTCTTCAGTGACTCAAAAAAGAATTTTCACAATTTAAAGATCCCCATAATACATTTTGTATATATTAATATATATATATATATTTATTGTCAGTTATTTATGCTGAGTTGTTCACAATATTTTCAAAATGTACCAAGGTTAATGCCAGTTGGCTGAGTATCTTTGTCTATTTCTGGATTTTCTTCAAAAATTATTTCTGGAATAGCTACAATATGTTTATGAAAGCATCATCTTAATTTGTTGCATTTCTATAACAAAAAAAAGTACCTAAATATATTCAGGGTGTTTCGCAAATTATAATCTTCTCCTCAAAAGGATAACTTATTATAGACAAAAACGAAGGTTACAGTTACTTATGTAGGGTTCTTACAAGTATTTAATATTTTGTCTGGCCTCCATCTGCCTGCATTCTTATAGGGTATGATTTCAGCACATTTCATTCCCTTGTCACTGAGCACTTCGGTCACTCTCTTCGCAGCTTGTTGTTGAGACTTGGTATACACTCTTTGTTCATTGTATTTAAATGTTTCCTTCCTCAGAGATTTTGAACAAAATTTATTTCTTGAGTTTATGTATAAGGCATTATTTCCTATGAGACATTTCAAGGCTTTTCGGACTATTTGCTGAAACAATACCCCGCAAGAATGCAGGATGATGTACAGGAAGATGGAGGTCACACAAAATACCAAGTACTCAGTAAGAAACTATATAAGTGCCTGATCTGAATTTTTTGTAGGTAGGTTTTAACGTACGCTGTGGAAAAGGGGAACTGAATTTTAAAATACCTGGTGTACAATGTATAAACTTCAGTGGAAGTAAAATTACATGAACTAATACAAAATATAGCAGAACACACAATTATAAGAATGACAATCAATTTATGAACATATGATATGACTTTTCTTTATGCCTTGTCCGTCTCCATAATTGTCTTCATTTTCCACTCTGACCTTTTGAAAAAAAGAATGGCATCCAATTTATTTAACTTCAGCATACTTGTGTTAAAGTCAAATACTTTTCACATGGTTAATGAATATAAAAAAAGGGATGGTATACAGCATTCAAAAACTTTCCTGTACAAAGCCTATTCTTTAGACAATATTATTTAGGCTGGGCAATTGAGTGAATGAAAAAGACATGCACTATATAGAATATACATGCGCCGAAGATTGTGTTAAATCTGTGTGGTGATCTGGTAAATGAATAATGTTGCAAGATAAACTGTACAGATACGTTTAAAATTTTAACCCTTTCTTACATACACCCCCTTTAATGAGTGTTGTCCTTAATTCGGTAAATAGTCTACAGTACAATTTTAGGTCGCTCTAGTGAAAGTGGAAAAAGGTTTAACTCCACCCTGCTGACAAACAGGCCGTAACCTCACTTAATCTCCACTTCTGACCCAAACTGGTGGTTGTCTATTTCTTAGTGAATGTTCATCAGTACCAAGTAAGGCAGAATCTACTGATAGTGATGAATTTCACTGTCTGTAATAGACAACTCTATATAAGTGATGAATGTGTGGGCAGTGGAGATTCGCCTGATAAACGTACTTCAACTGATGGCTACCTCAATGGTTCAAATGGATTTAGTTATAGTAACCAGAAACTATATTGGATTGGTTGATCTATATTTAATATAATTTTACAACAGTGTTTATGTAACAAATTCAACTATCTATATCTAACGTTTAACGTTATATCAAGCACTAATTTCTGTCAATACACGAGCTTCTCTCTCGCCACTGACGACTCTTTCTAATTCTAACAATCTATTTTCGTGGATATCCTTAATGGTGTTTAATGCAGCTCTCATGGACTCTAATGGCTATGGAAGACTCTTATGATTGACTGAAATAACAGTAAAATTAAATCTACACTATTAACAAACAAAAGAAACTATTTGCGATGCAAATTAGCGACTTACAACGGACGTCACTATTAAGTCTTTTGTTTACATTTGAACGCAAGACTAAATTTTGCTTCAGACAACACTAACTGAATTTGGCGTAATGTTACACCTCTCTGCACCAAGAAGGTGAAAACAGAGAAGTGTGAGTAGTAAAACAACCAGATTAGCCAACGCGATGACTGACACACAGAGAATGAGAAATAATGACAACACTGGGTAACTCAGTTAAGCCTAAAGTTCAGCTTTAAAGACGGTACAACGGTGGACCTCAGGATTATACGATGCAGCACAACTAAGCCTGGTAGACACTTCTGGAGAGCACAAGGAAAGGGTTCATATACTTGCACTATAACATGGTGCAACTGGAACCAACACCCCTTTCTACAGCTCTGTTAACAACAGACAAACAATGTCGTACTACCTTCTACAGGATCATCTGTGGGAGGAGAGAAACAAAACTTAGGTATTTCATAGGCTTTATCAACATTGAGGAGCACATGGAAGAGAACTTCCCGTCATAAGAGTCTACAAACTAATGTACAACATGTCTTACGAACATCAACTTGTGTAAACTTATATTACATGAGAGAACAATGCAAAGGCGCAATGAATAAGGGTTGCCCATTACCACGTGGAGTGGCCTACCGCACCGGGCCATCCAACGTGTGTGATACTAATAGAAAATACAAGATTTCAGAGGCAAAGGCCTAAAACACTGACATAGTGTAGTAAACCTATGTCTTATAGATTGACAGCAACATAATTGACCTTTCATAGCAAAATAATACCTGTGGGAGGAGAGAAACAAAACTTAGGTATTTCATAGGCTTTATCAACATTGAGGAGCACGTGGAAGAGAACTTCCTGTCATAAGAGTGACTTGCCCTTGCACACAGGCATTAGTCACCTTTTGAAACACAGGCACTTGTAACTTTTACTAAACAGAGTTACCTCCCTTCAACCACTTAACTGTCCTCACTACTAAGCTTTACACATAAGAAAATGGTACCCCCTTGTATCTACTGTTACAGTAACACCGGTAATTCGGCCTTCTCTGCTTCGCCTTACTGATCCAGATCGTCACCAGGATTCAAGTTAATACGTCTTCTGCTCATGGGTCTACCACAGTCTACCATTGGTAGACAAGTAAGTTGCACTGTCTGAAACAATATCTGGAGTAACATATTCATCATCAGTTGTTTCATCACTGGATTCTTGTTGTGGTCTTGCGTTCACAGATATAGATATCCTTCTCAGGAACTGAACATGTAGGCAACACATTCCTCTGCAGAGTACATTTCTTCTCGATACATCATACACGGATGTTCAGGGGATTGGGACAGGTAACTAACATATATCGTACTTATTTCCACCATCTTATGTTGTCCATCAAACGAAAGTTTTTTTTACAAGAACTATGTCACCCGGTTTCATGTTCTTACATCAGGCATATAGGGTGAACTTGTTTAATTTTGGTTTTGGCAAATAACTCAGATGCTGCAATGTAAGTTTCTTTTTGTTGGTTTTCCTAATCCTAGCACTACATCGATTGCCAGAGTAGGTTTGTGAGTCGAACAGTGAATATCCGTTGGTCGCATGTTTTGTAGAATATAAAGAGATCAAAGATGAACAATTGTCTGCATTCCTTCCACTGAGATTGTCCGTCAGAAAATCCTCGGACCCGGGGGTCAACCTGTTCCAAGTGGTGTCAGAAGTGGGATTTCACAATTCTGAGTGGAATCCAGGATACGACCTACTTCAAATTTTGTGAATAGTGGTAATGTCTATATGTATAAAGAATATGTTCCAAAGGGAGAATATTTCTATATTAAACCAGTTATATAATAAATCGAACCAATTGGAAAAATGACGCAGTCACCCGACAATTAAATGGTTTTTTGAAACAAAATCCTCGTACAGGGAGATGTCTCGTTTTTTTTTTGTATCATATAATATTGATTTTTATTGATTTAACACATTTTTATTGATTTTTAGATGTCTCGTTTGAGAAAAGAGTGATAGAAATAAAAGGCGGATTCGAAGAAGACCACGGGGAAGGGGCGAGACCAACTAATCAAGAACCAAGGGGAGGATATCCTACCTGTTAAGCCCCAAAAATTCAACGGAAATGGGAATTGGGAGGAATATATTAGTTACTTTGAACTATGTACAGAACTAGGTACGTGGACGGAGAAAGAGAAGGTTTTAGCTTTGGTAGTGAGGTTAGTTCATAAGTTTTTACATAATGGGGTATCTACATATCTCTAGATGATCAACTGGGGCAAAGATTTGGAAGCACTCGACAGGAAACCAGATGGTTATCGGGATTAGAGTCACAGAACAGACAATCTGAGGAGTCAATAGCCGCATTAATAGATGATCTAAGACTATGACTAAAAGAGCTAGATGCTGTAGCACAAGAAGCCCTCGCATTAAATCAGTTTTATAAATGTATTATCTTTCAGATAATCGTAATTGTGCAACGGTAGCACAGGCAGTAGATGTAATAGATAGATATGAAGCTATCATTGGAGATGGGTGCGATAAGAAGCGAGCTGTACGTTTAGTAGTCGGACACACCACACCACCGGAAAAACAAACTGTAAACTTTGACAAAACATTGAAGGATTTGATTGAACGATTAGAAAAGCTGGAGGTCAGTAGGTCTCAACAACAATACAATGGGTGAAGACAGTTTCAAGTACAATGCATGGGTGTAACCAACAAGGACATATCATAAGGAAATGTCCAGATCGGTCTGTGGAAAATCGAAGCACAAGACCTTACAATAACCATCGACAGGGAAACGTCAGACCGTCGTCTGAATAGGCCATGAGACGCCGGAGTAATTATGAAAGAACGGGAATATGTGGAAACAAGTGGCCAATTCGACAGTGGATTTTATACTTCTGGATGGATCAATGACATACAAATATCGTTCCTCGTTGATAGTGGATTTACCCACACGATTATCTCAATACGCTACTTTTCAAAAATTGAAAAAGAACTCAGACCAGAATTACAATCGGCTCAGTTCAGTCTCAAGGATGTTAATGGTAACAGTCTGCCGACATACGGTATTACTCTCATACAAATACAATTAAAAGGTGTAACGTATCAAATACCTGCCCTAGTATGTGATATGCTCCCAGCTGCTATCTTCGGTCAAGATTTTCTTTTGAAGTATGCAGCACAATAGATAATAAGAAGTTAGAGATTTCCACTGGCGAACAAATCGTAAAATGTTGGATAGGAGGCGAAGCTGAAATGGTATGTGCTGTTCACTCATCGGAAGAAACTGAATCTGACAAAATAACTGCTGTAAAGAATTGGAGCACTCCAACATCTGCTAGACAAGTGAAGAGTTTCCTTGGATTAGCCTCATACTACAGAAGATTTGTTCAAGGATTCACTGAAATAGCTAAACCACTACATCGCATTTGTGACAAAGGAACCAAGTTTGCATGGAATGCTGAATCTGAAGAAGCTTTCGACAAATTGAAAAACAAGCTTCCCTTCCCTCAGTATGTAATCTGAATTCTGCCATTTCCTAGGCGAAGAGCTTGGCATCGGGACTGCCAGTTCATGGGTAGCCAAAACAGGGCTGCAGGCCCATCATGCAGGGTGACGGATTCGACTTCCTTCCAGGATTTGCTGTCTTTCCTTCACATCCATTCCAGGATGACGGTAGCCGATTCCACGAGGCTGGCCTGTGAAATGTTATCCTGAAAAGTGTTTAACTTCCGGTAAAACGTTTTCGTCTTCAGTATTCCCAAATTCCGGCGATCTGCAAAACTTCAAAGTGGGGCTCTGGCTGTTTGGCCTACCTCCTTGTTTCCTTGACGACGGTTGGTACAGGGCTCTGGCTGTTTGAGTCGGGGACAGCACTTGGCCTAGCCCCTCCTTTCTTCCAATGGGACTATCACTTCAGGGCTCTGGCTGTTTGGATCAGGATAGCACTTGGCCTAGTACCTCCTTTCTCCATTTCTTCCACCAAAACCTTAACGGGGTAATGGAAGAGAACTCCCAACCAGTTTCCCAGTCTTGGCTTGGTTCTTTAATAATCTTCATACATCTCCTCGCCAGTTCCCTGGCTTTCGTAGCAATGCTGCTTCTTCTTTCAGACAGACTTGTCAGCTTGGCATAGTCCTCAGGGTATATGGATAACCAGAGCCCATTGCCCTCTTTAAGAAGTCTTTAAGCATGTCCTCAAATTTCCTTGCATGTTCTTTCCTAACATGATCTCCGGTGTCGATCTTATAGCCACTTTCTAGAGCAAAAGGGACACATCACCCGCAAGCAACTATGGTCCTTGTTATCCATATGGTTCTTCCTGAGCTGCATTCCCAACATTCTACTGCTCTAAGGATTGAATCTGCCATTTCTGCAAGACGAAAGACATCTCTGATGGAGTCGACCCTTCCTTACAACGTGAACCATGTTTTCTTGTTTTAGTTATACCCTAACGTTTACAGTCCAGCGTCATGTTTGTCTATGAGATGTCCATAGCCCCAGAGGACCCAACACCAATTTCTATATTGGTAATACCCTTTTTCTCAGTTTTCTTTTTGTTTTCTATCCAAATTTCAATCATCCCTCTAGCAAATAATCCGGAAATCTCATCTGTTGGTAAGCTTACCACGTACATGAACTTCGAATTAAAACCTTTCACTGTCACTTGTAGCTACAAATTAAAGGTAACCGCACCGCTGTAATGGGTCACTAACGAAGCCCCTGCTCTGTTAAAACGGCAGATATGAAAGAAAGACTAGTTGGGGTTGGTTGTCACAGTGCCTTTTAATCTGGGTTTATGTGACGCACGTCAGGTTTGACAACAAATGTTATTGCGTCATAGCTGATTGACGTCATAGATTTCTTTTTTTTTGTATCTTGTAGATATTTATTCAACATAAATTATACAATTATACAAAACATTACAGTATATGAAAAACTAAAACATGTATCTCATAGTTATTATATAATTAAAATCAAGATATACATTAATATCACAGATGAATACTCCTTAATGGAGTTAAAATACGGTAAAATATTAATATAATAATACTGTATTATAATATTTACAGTATTTCCATTATGGTATGGAACTTAAAAATATTACTGTAAGACTTCAAATTGTGGACACTAGCTATGACAATGTTTCTCTAAAATGGGTTAACACGTAGTATAATAATTAAAACCTTGATTAAAAAATCATGAAAATTTGAAAGTTGTATATGATAAAATGAAAATGATGTTTCTTAAATGCAGAAGTATCGCTATTGATGGATCTTTACATGACGCCATCGATCTCTAAAACACGGCTGCAAGTGCAAAACGTTTCACGAAATTCAACATTTATCATTTTGACTGATCGTAAGTAATATTCTGATACACAATCATTTAGATTATATCTCCTTAGTGAATTGCACTTTTTGTTAGGTAATTGTGGTATTGGATTGTGATAGTTGTGGTCATGGTTGGGAGAATAACAAACGTGGTCAGTAAAGCAATGTGCTTTGTAGCTTCAATAAGTTTTGCAAAATGTCATGTTGGGGATGATTGTCACATCACAGTTGGGGTTAGTTGTCACATGTGACAACCAACCCTTCTATATTTACTAGCCTACATATAGTTTATTTTTCTGTACCGTATGGACAAGTTCAAACTCGATGACTCTGGTGTGGGCTCTTGACTGCTAACCAGAAGAATCTGGGTTCAATTTGATAATAATGTTCCAGCTAATGACGGTACTAACTATAGCTTTTAAGACTAGGAAATAATAATTTTAATTGCTCGTTTCAGTTGTTCGACATGGTTGGGAATTTCAAAAGAAAGACTGAAAAGAGCACAACACCCCAAGATGTTATGCTGAGAGCTGTCCAGCAGGTGAAACTGGAGTATAAATCCATCAGAAGCACCGCGAAGGATTTCAGAATAAATTATAGGACTCTTACTCGGTATTGTCAAAAGATTACTAATGAAGAGATAGAAGGAAGCGGTGACCAGCCATCTATCCCAGTTGGATATTTAAAAAACAGATTAATTTTTAAAATAGAGCTGGAACAACAGCTTGTGGGATATATTACCAAAGCATCGGATATATACCATGGTCTTTCACCTTCTGAAATTCGCAAGCTGGCCTCTCGGTTGAGACAGGCGTAACGACAGTCCAAAAGCCTGACAAGGTTGTAGCTCGTCGGGGCTACAAACACGTCGGTTCGATCACAGCAAACAACATCCAAGCTAGATTTAAAGTAGCTCGCATATCCTTAAAACAGAGATATATTTTCTGATTCTGAATTTGCCCCTTCTTATGTCACTGACCGTCCAATGCCTGAAAATGATTCGAATTGCGAGATCAATAAACCTTCATCCACCAGTAACAAAAGACCCTTAGCAGAAAGCACTCAGCCCGACATCAATGCCACACCTGGACCTAGTTTTGTGGCCAATGGCAAAATCCTAACCCCTGGAGAGTTACGTTCTTTTCCAAAAGCTGGACCGCATGTCAACATCGCGCCTACCTTAAGGACACAACCTATTTTTTCAATATAATATACAATCTTCGATTTCCCTCTAATGCTATTTTAATTTCTATCGACGTTTCTTCTATGTTCGTAAATCTTTTAATAGAAATCCAGATCCAAACAGACCAGACGGTGCAATTCTACAGCTTTTAGAGATTTGTCTTAGTCGAAACGATTTCACATTTAATGTTATAAACTTTAGGGACAGCTATGGGCAAACGATTCGCCCCTTCGTACGCAAACCTTTTCATGGCGGGGTGGGAACGTGAGGTGTTGCCCCTCTGTCCATTTGGCCCACTTTTTTATGAACGCTTTTTCGATGACATTTTATGGTTTGGACTTATTCTATCGAACAGTTTTGGGAATTCTTTGAAATTCTCAACAACCACCATCCTTCCATCAAACTAACCGTTAACGTGAGTGACAAGAGCATAGACTTTCTCGATACCTCTGTCTTTAAGGGAGATTCCATAGCAGAAACAAATAAACAGGACATTAAAGTGTATTTCAAAGAAACTGATACCTAACTCTTGCACAAGAGCTCCTTTCACTCAAAACATAAATTTTCTGGTCACAAGTTTTACGATTTCATTGAATTTGTACAAGATCTTCGGATTCAACCAAGCCTGTACGATTGTTTTCTCAAAACTGAAAGAGCGTGGGTACTCTAAACGATTTTTACGAAACATAAAAAATTCCACCTTGGCACAGATAGCAGCTAAAAACAGACTTTATGCCGAAGTACCTCCAGGTTTAAGAAGTGCTCCATGTTTGTCCAGTAGATGCAAAACACGTCCCTTTATATCAGAAACTCATTATTTTGTAACCAACTCTACGAATAAAAGGTACCCGATCCAGGAACATCTAACATGTCAACATTCGAATGTAATATATTTAATTTCATGCAAGAAATGCCCCAAACAATATGTAGGAGAAACTAAGAATAATTTGCGAACTCGTTTTAATGCTCATAGGTCGGATATCAAATTATAGAAAGACAAGCCTGTTTCTAATTATTTCAACCTCGACGACCATTCAATAGACGATCTCACTCTAATCCCAATTGAGCGCATAGAAATTGACTTGCCCGAAGATGAAACTACCAAATTCCGTCAATCTAGGGAAGCCCATTGGATTGAGACATTGAATACAGTAAGACCTATAGGACTAAATATTCACCATAATGTAGGCATGGCACCCTTTGTTGTCCCGTTCAATACAACCAGCAATCGAGCAAGCAAGATAGTTCATGCCCACTATAAGAGCCTCCAAGAGAAATTCCCCCATGTCTATAAGCAGAAAATGATAATTGCATATTCAAAAAATAAGAACTTAAATGATAATATTGTTCATAGTAAACTAAAAACAATCAGTACATAACAGATACTATACTTCTCGCCCATTGGGCGAGTTATTTTCTAATTTCAGATCAGAATAAGAACAGAAGAAAACCCAATATCAAGACCCTTAATCCTAATTTCTAAATAAAGTGTCTGCTCCATCCTAGGCCTGTACATTTGGGAGAATCAAACCCTCCCTTTCCCGAAATCTAAAACCAACCATAGATCCAAATCGCAAAAATCTTCAGAAGTATGGGTCCCTAATCCACCCACAAACGGCTGGACACGAGATGTAGACCAGGTGACAAGACTTCAAAAATGCCGTCGACATTATAAATGGCCACGCAGTCTGATGATGAAATTTTTTCTGTGGGCTGCATACAATTCTTATATTTTGATGGGATATACTCGCCAACATATTACTACTGGTCACAGAACAGTTACTTTTCATTCTTTTAATGATAGATTTGTGAAGAGTTAGTTGGTGATATACAAAATGTAAATTCCTCCTTTAGAAGACGAGTTTCTGATGAAACATCCGAAAAGCGCCTAAATCGCGATGCACATCATGATTGTGAGCGACCTGCCCATGCCACAACTAATCAAAGATGTAAAGTTTGCAGAGAAAAATACCTAAGAGCCAAATCAACCAATCCACAAGCCAACGCCAGTCAATTACCAAAACGTCACAAAACCACAATTTGGTGTAGATATTGTAAAGAGTTTCTTTGCGTTGGCAAAGTAGGAGACAACTGCTGGTATGATTGGCACAACAGAGTCCAATACTGGAGATAGATGGCATTTTCAACGCATGTGTTGACCATGTTACAGAACATTCTTTTGTGATCATTTCATACATTTTTGCGTGAAGACATTATCTGTGATATTCTTTATAATAATACTGTAAATAAAATTACTTGCATTTTGTCTGTGATATACATAATAGGATGTGTTATTCTTTTATCTGTTTAATCATTGTTAGCTTTTTTCATATATGCATAATTAATGAAACGTTTGTTTGATGGGAATTTGAAAGTGAAATGACCTCAAATGAGCGGTCATTTTGTAATTCAGGTAAAATATTGACTGCATCTATTTCATCAATGACTTGTTAAAGTAACTCTTGTATTATTACGCTTGCCTCGGTTCCAGGTATTATTTCTGCTGTTCCAGGTTTTATTTCTGCTCTTCCAGGTATTATATCTTCTGTTCCAAGTTGTATTTCTATGGTTCCAGGTATTTTTTGTATTTGTTCTGTTCCAGGTATTATTTCTGCCGTTTCGGTGACTATTTCTTCTGTTCCAGGTACTGTTCCGGGTATTTTTTCTGCTGTTCCAGGTTGTATTTCTTTGATTCCAGATAGTATTTCTTCTGTTCCAGGTATTATTTCTTATTTTCCAGGTACTTCTGTTCCCGGTATTATTTCTTCTGTTCCCGGTCGCATTTCTCTTGTTCCGGGTATTACATCTGCTGTTCCAGGTGTTATTTCTGATGTTCCAGATTGTATTTCATTGGTTACAGGTATCTTTTCGTCGGTTTCGGGTATTATTTCTTCTAATCCAGATATTATTTCTTCTGTTCCAGGTATTATTTCTTCTGTTCCAGATATTATTTCTTCTGTTCCAGGTATTATTTCTTTGGTTTCAGGTATGATTATTCCGTATGTAAGCCTAGAAGGTATTTGTTTCTTTTTTTCAATTTCAGGTTTTTGTGTATAATCTGAAACATCACTGTCGTGCTCACAGCATTGATAATCTGGGTCATTATCTGAGTCATCATATTCACTTTCAGTCTCTTCTAAATGTTTTAGAATGTCTAATGCACTGTACCGTTTGACTGAAATGAAAATAAATCAGAATCTTAACTTTCTCTAAATATAATATTGAGCATAATTGTTTACACATCTCTTGATCATGTAGCCTCTATAAAAATAGCTTCTATGAGCAACATCTTCCAGTAAATATAAAGCAAACCATTACTTGATTGAGTTCAACCTGAGCTATAAGGAATATAATTGCAACCAATCATTGAAATGTGTGCATGAAACGGATATGTCCAGAGTGTTCCTAATGATAACATGATAAACCATGTTTCTTCCTCACTAAATGCAATTATAATTTATGTAATATTTATATAACTTAACTATAGGATTAAATATTTACAAATAATCTTACCTCGTCTATCAGTCATAACTTATGTAAGTATATTTTCAACAAACAACTTAATTTTCTATTGTTAGCAAGGCTCCATATTCTATTTTCAAGGGAAGAAACTCTCATCATATCTCAGAACACAATTGGTCATATTCAGTTTTAACATTACCATATGAAAATTTTGGAGGAAAACACAAGGCTAATCATGAATTCAATATACCAGCTACTGGTATTTATACAAGCAATTTATGTTGGAACTGGCATACTTTTGTCACTGGGCAAATAAAGTCACAGATATCGCCTTATCTTTCATTATTTGATGAAGTGAAGATACGGCATGTTACATTGATTTATTGGTTGCGGAATAATGGTACCTCTTCTCTTACTTATCAGCAAGCAACAATTACTAGAACTTATGATCCTGATTGTCAAGGCAGAATTATGACTGTTGATAATCAGAATGCATGTCCTAACACCAGAGAACATCTTATTCATTATGGACAAAAGTACTCTATGAAGATGTATCCAAAATTTCAGCCCAGATTATCTAATGCTAGAACAGTAGGTAATATTGGTGGAAAACCTATTTCTCCTTGGATAGATTCTGCTTACTTTACCTATGGCGCTCTTCCTCCTTCATCTATGAATGGTATTATATACAGCATTCAAGGATCGCCTAATACATTCCTTGAAGGATTTTATTCTATCGGTTTATCCTGGAGGGGTCGTAGAGATGGTCAGATTTACGAATCTGCATCAACTTCAGCTGGACCTGATGATTTCGATTGTTTGCAAAATGATCTAACTGGAATGTCTGAACAAATACATGGTTTTGGAATGGGTTGGGGTTAGGTTTCGTTTTAATTGATGAATAAAACAGTGGGTAAGGCTTGAACTGAACTGTATTTATTCACAATAAATTAACATATTAACATCCTATATTTGTCTTCCTTTTTTTCCAATTTAAAATTCCAGTATCTATCCTGTGACATCTTACTCATGTCTGGCAAGAAATTTGCAAAGCAGACAATTTTTGGGGGCTACGCGTCGCTATCGAACGTCGACTTTTACGTCATTTTACGTTATGACGTCATTTCTTTCGTGACGTGGTTATTTGACTTAGTAACAGTCAAACTTCATTTAAAAGATGTCTGCCTTCCGTAAAAGACGTTGTCTTGATTCCGCTGATACTTCAGCTTCTAGTTCAAAGAAGGGACGTTTTAATCGTCGTACCATGCCACCATCTGGTTCTAATCGATTTGTCAAGCGGCGGTCAGCCAAGAAGTATGGTAAAAGTTCTAATTTTTTACAGAAGATCTATGATCAAGTTGTTCATAGTGAACATAAAGGTTCTCATGAATTTAAGACTGATGCTAAAGGATTGTATACCTCAAATTTGTGCTGGTCTTCTCCTACATTTCTTCGGAATGAGACACATATAGCTGTTCAGGTTAAACAGTACTTGAATCTTTTTGATGAAGTCAAGATTAGGCATGTTACATTGATTTATTGGTTGCGGAATAATGGTACCTCTTCTCTTACTTATCAGCAACCAACAATTACTAGAACTTATGATCCTGATTGTCAAGGCAGAACTATGACTGTTGATAATCAGAATGCATGTCCTAACACCAGAGAACATCTTATTCATTATGGACAAAAGTACTCTATGAAGATGTATCCAAAATTTCAGCCCAGATTATCTAATGCTAGAACAGTCGGTAATATTGGTGGAAAACCTATTTCTCCTTGGATAGATTCTGCTTACTTTACCTATGGCGCTCTTCCTCCTTCATCTATGAATGGTATTATATACAGCATTCAAGGATCGCCTAATACATTCCTTGAAGGATTTTATTCTATCGGTTTATCCTGGAGGGGTTGTAGAGATGGTCAGATTTACGAATCTGCATCAACTTCAGCTGGACCTGATGATTTCGATTGTTTGCAAAATGATCTAACTGGAATGTCTGAACAAATGCATGATTTTGGAATGGTTTAGGGTATTATAGTAATACTAGAAATACGCGTCGCCAAAAAAGGTCGAAATGGCGAAAACAGCTAAAAAACACTGTGATAAATGTAATTGCGATGTGGATAAGAGTCAATGGAGCAGACATATCAAGACTAAGAAGCATAAGAATGGAGGAACGAAGGAAAAAATGAGCGCTGATAGATATTGGAACTTCGAACTAGTCAAGAAAGATGAAGACTACCAAATGTTAATTTGTTAAATGTTATTTGTTAATAAATACAATCAGTTCAGGCCTTACAATTGTTTTAATAATCAAATGTGGACCCTACCCGGAGGGCAGAAACCCTTAGATCGGCTCCGCCCTCCGGGACTCCGCCTCGTGGTGTGGCCCCTCGACTGGCTGCTAATTCACAGTATCATAACCATCTAGAACTTCAAATTGATCTGATAAAGAGGTAGATGCTTGAGCAGAATAGACTTGACCATCTCTTCTTCCTTTCCACGATAATCCAACACTATAAAATCCTTCTACAAAGGTATTAGGTGACCCTTGAATGGTGTAAATGATACCATTCATTGATGAAGCAGGAGAAGCACCATAGGTGAAATAAGCCGAATCAATCCATGGGGATATAGCTTTACCCCCAATAGCAACAGACTTAGCAGAAGACAACTTCGGCTGGAACTTCGGATACATCTTTAAAGTATACTTGCGGCCATAGTGTAACAACTTCTCTCTGGTATTAGGACGGGCATTTTGATTGTCCACAGTCATAGTACGGCCTTGAGCATCAGGATCATAAGTAGATGTAATCGTAGGCTGTTGATACGTCAACCAGTAAACTAGGGTGACATGCCTAATTTTGACTTCATCAAAGACAAATAAGGCGAAATCTGGGTCTTGATACTACCGGTTACAAAAGTATGCCAGTTCCAGCACAGGTTAGAGGTATAAATTCCAGTAGCTCTCAAGTTGAACTCATGATTAGCTTTGTGCTCTGAATGCACAACACCTTTATAAATCCTCTTCATTAATGTATTCCTTCTCCGGAACCTTCGTCTCCTCACTGGAGCACGTTTCCTACGATAAAACAACCTCCTACGGCGATAAAAAGACCTTTTCTTGGCATAGAATCTAGAGCGATTAAAGTTACGTCTTTTCTGGTAAAATGCCATCTTTAATGTCACTCTAAAATTTGTAAGTTACGTAACTAAGGAACATGACGTCAAAACGTCAAAAACGTCATAAGGGGACCAAAATGACGTCAAAAACTCGACGTTCGATAGCGACGCGTATTATAGTAATACTAGAAAAAAGGTCGAAATAGCGAAAACAGCTAAAAAAAACACTGTGATAAATGTAATTGCGATGTGGATAAGAGTCAATGGAGCAGACATATCTAGACTAAGAAGCATAAGAATGGAGGAACGAAGGAAAAAGTGGAAAAAGGAGGTGTAAACTTCTTTATAACTCTACAAAGACCAGTTAAGTACGAGATACAAAAGAGATGGAAGACATGGAAGTTTGGAAGTAAATTAGTAGCAGGGAACGAATGGGGGATGTCAGGGACGAATGGACACTGCCATGCATTACGGAGAAAATGAATTTCACAAGATTGAAACAGGTATGGTT